CCTGGGCTCTCCCTTTGTCAAACTGTAGTTTAATGTACCTCCTCTTTTCCTTTGGGATGGCTAATGGCATGTGAATTAGCCTTAGCTTCCTTGTGGCTATATTGTTGACTATCCTTTTGTTATCAAATTACAGGTGCTGTGAACAAATAACAAACTGCATTTTTCTCTTACACAGGTGGTGGAGGTGTATGGTCTCCTGGCTTTGGGGATGTCTCTGTGGAACCAGCTGGTTGTCCCAGTTCTTTTCATGGTGTTTTGGCTTGTCTTATTTGCTCTTCAGATCTATTCCTATTTCAGTACACGGGACCAGCCTGCCTCAAGAGAGAGGCTCCTCTTCCTCTTCTTGACAAGGTAATTAACTAGTCCGCAAATACTTGGTTTTCTGTTTTTACTATCATCTGAAATGAATGTTTGTGCTCTTTTAGAAACTAAATATGTAGATTGGCTTTACTGCATTTGGATACCCAACAAATATTTGACCTTATTGCAGGGACCATGTATGTAAACCCTGTTAGGGTTGTCCTTCAGAGGCATGGATCCCGTTCAGAACAGAGAGCATTAGTAGAACTGTGGGAGAGTTCCCAAAGAAAGCAGAATATTCCTTTGAGGGAATAGTTATAATTAGAGCTTTGGTCCAGAAGCTGTTTTCAGTATACAAATTGGTTTTAAGTCTGAGATACTTCAGCTGAAGTTCAGTCCAACTGATACCTTATTCATGATTGTGTTGCTTTATGAGCCCTGTGTGTCTTGTTTCATCATTCTGGTCTGGGACACATTCTTGAGTTCATCCGAGCAGCCAAAGTACCCAACTCCCAAAGTAACTTTTGAGCCCAGTGGTTAATTTGGCAGAGGTGTAAAGATCTTAAAGATGCCGAATTCCTAAAAGCTTTGTAAAAATTGGTTGTAAGATAAAGGAGAGAGGCCTGAGTTAGTGCTGTTGTTGAGAGAAAGGCAGCGTTTGGGCGATTCTTCTGGCTGGAACCTACATGCCTTTGCTGGCTGTTGTTTAACTAGAAATTACAGCATACAAAAGGGAGCGGGAGTGTGGGGTAGAGAGGAACTGGATGTATTGCAGAAGGTGGGCTAGACAAATTAGATAGTGTAATACTCAGATGGGGAGAAAAGAGGTAATAGTTGTCTAAACACACAGGTAACATAGGACATATTCTTTACAGACCATACATCATTAGTTCTGCTGTTTGGGTAGCAACTTGTTCGAGTAACTTGCTCATCACTACAGTTTTCCAATTAGACTTTCCAGTTGCTTAGCTTTTTCTTGCCTCTGTGTGTGTGTATATATCTGTCTATGGTGCCATAGTGTAGCTGTCAAAGTTCATTATCATTAAGGAGAAATGCCAGGGATTTTGTTGCATGTAGTATTAAAATTGCTTACATTGTAACACTGCATTATGTAAAAGCACTGACTGTTACCTGGTTAACTGAACCATTGATGTCTGGAGTTTTTCCTCCTGTTCATCTCTGCTCCAATTTTAATTTTATTACAATAGAGTACTGCATTTAACAGTTAGCAGAGGTGAGAGAAGCCATCCTTTTCCTTGTAGAGTTTAACTTAATTGTTAAACTTCTGTTCATGGCAAACCAGGGAACTTGCTTTGCAGACTTGCCTTAGCTTGATCTATGGGTGAATGAATACCAGTTGATCTCTGAAGTTCTCCCTGCAATTGGAAAAATAATAGAAAAACTATGCATATGTTCTTAGTGTTCTCAGCTCTGTCACAGTAGAAAAACTATGAACTCTTACTGATCTTAAAAACACAAACTCGGGTAGTACCACTAACAGCCTCTTACCCTTTAGGAGGAATCCGAAATACCTTGTCAGGTCAGTTAATAATGTAGTGCTGGCTGTATAATAAAATGGAAGAAAAGATGTGCTCTTCCATGAAAGTGAGTGAATTCTGCATCTGTGCCCTTTAAGTGTAATGATTGCTTAAAATCATATAGCTGGAATTCTGGTGAGCAATTGGGGTGTGCAGAAAAGCTGTGTCTGATTTTCATAAGAACATCAAAGTGACTGTACTGGGTCAGACTGAATATTGATCTAGCCTAAGATCCAGTTTCCACCAGTGGCTGTAAATGGGTACCTGGAAAGACACCCACCCATACTATGACAAACAGGATGCTTCCTAGTACTCTTTTCAGTCCCGCATCCAACTTCAGCTGTCAGACTGCATTAGCTGGGTATGGTTAATATGTATTCAGTAACCCTCCAAAGACTCCTCTTCCGTCAATTTGTGCTTTCTGCCCTTGAACCCATGTATGCTTGTGTCATTTGAAAGATCCTGAGGCAAGGAGTTTCACAGCTCAACTTGGTCTGTATGATGAAAAATCCATTTTGATTGTTTGAATCCATGTAGTTTTGTTCAGTGCCCCTCAGTTCATGTATTGCAGGGGCAGGGGGAAGCAGCAAACAGTTCTGTTCTTTTCTTTAAAATTGAGAGTAGCATAAATCTGTTCTTCCCAAACTGGAAAGCTCTTGTTTTCATATTTGCTGTTTAAAAACTGTTCTGTACCTTTCATTGTCCTTGTTGCTTCTCTCAAAATCTCTTCTATGGGTATGTAACTGCTGTGATTTTTGAAGACTTGAAGATTTCAGCTCTTTGGGACAAGTTATAAGCTTGTGCTTGACACACAAACATAACACTGCAAGCTCCCCAGGCTTCTCTTTGAGCTCTTAAGCTCCTCTGGGACCCTTGCATAGTAGATCATCTGGAAATAAGTTTAAGGGTACTAGAATTACTCTGACAAAAAAAAGATTGGACATCAGGCAGAAAAGCCAGGATTCTGGATTTCTGATAATTTATTTTGAAGCAAAACTTAGAGTTTCTCAAATATCCTACAGAAATAGCTGTTTTAAGTACTGTATTTCTTGCTGCCTTCACTAGCAGGAACATTTAAAAGCTTTTTCAGCCCTTCTTGGCTTGGTTAACAGGCAGAATTTGAAGGCGTACCAGAAGCACTGCAAATAGTGTATGTAAACACATCAACATTTTGTGCTGTGAATTGCTTTCAAAGGAGATTTCCAGTTAAAGTAGTCATTAAAAGAGACAAAGTAAATGTCTCTTGGATTAATTTTATTTATTTTTGAAGCATATACTTCCTCAAAACTCTTTTGTCTTGTCAGAGCGCTGGACTAGTTCACTCTTCAGTTGGTTAATTAGCATGACTTGTTTTTGACCACCATAATTTCTCCCACAAATCTACTATCCTGGTGAACAAACGTGGTTTTTTTTTTTTTTTTTCTTTTTTTTTTCCCCCCTATGAATAGGGGTGTCGGTGTATTACCTTGGATTATGTATGTGAGGATTTCCAGATGTGTAATCCCTGGCTGACAGCTGGTTCTTTAGGTGGGGTTGAGGCATGTGGTGCATTGCACTACACTCCTTGTTCTGGAGACATCATGTTTCAGAGGCCAACGTACGCTCTGGGACTTAGGCCACTGCCAGTATTGCAGTGCCAGAATCAGCAGAACAGCAGCCCTAAGGTGAGGGACCTGAAGTAATGCAGCTGTTCTCGGTGTCGTCAAATGTATTCTGGGGTCTTAATCTTTTGGACTTCACTGCTGTAGCAAAAGAGAGGAAGAAGCCTGCTGAGGGAGGATATCCTTCACTGTCTTATTTCGCTGCTGCTGGCTCAGCTGTTTGAAAGACAGGTGCTGCCTACCTGACCCTGATGTGAACGCTACCAAAAAGCCCCCAGTCTCCCAATAGCATTTGTCAGTTTGATGTTTGTTTGCACTATTGCGGATCTGAGTGGAAAGTGCCTGAGTGAGTGCATTTGCTTTAACTCTGTGTTTCTGGTAGGTGGCTGAAGTTGCCTGGGTGCGCTGTGGCTGTCCAGTTGCCTTCTGGTTATGACAGCCCAACGCAAGCAGGACAGTGCCGCCCTGTGGCACCGTGCTGGGGAGGGACCGGAGGAACGCCGTACACAGCCCTAGCTCCAGCCTGATGGCAGCGTGAGCTTGGGAGCTGAAGGGAACTTGTGTCTTGGAAAGGAGTAACAGAATGTGTCTGATCTTTTTCTGTTTATGGGAAGCTTTCATGGCGGTGTACAGCTTTTAATATTTTCATTAAAGCAACCCAATTTTGCTTTAAAACCAGCTTGCAGAGTTAACAGGACCAGGGGAGAGCTCATCACATTGCTTTTAATTGATGGACCTTTTCTTTTTGTTTCTTTTCTCCTCTCTCCTCCCAGTATTGCTGAATGCTGTAGCACTCCGTACTCACTGCTGGGCTTGGTCTTCACAGTCTCTTTTGTTGCTTTGGGAGTTCTGACTCTCTGCAAGTTTTACTTGCAGGGTTACCGAGCATTCATGAATGATCCTGCTATGAACAGGTAAGTGCCTCATTCTGCCTGGGGCCTAAAAGGAAGCAGACGAAAAGGGATTTATATAGAAATAGATGGGTTGCATTGCAGTTTTTTAACTTACGAACTCTTGGGTATCCTTAACAGGCTTTTTGTGTGCCAGTCTACTTGTGCGCTGGAAGGATTTGAGGTGAAAATACAGCTTGTCACAGACATCTTGGGAGATGGTTCATTTCTGTAATAAATTCAGGGCTCTTAGCTGGGATTTATAATTGCACAGTCTTATTGTCTTAATGCTTTCATTTTCATGAGTCACTGTAAAATTTTCACGTGCTTGGATAATATAAACACTTCATATTTCCATTTCCTCATTTACCCTGTAATCATGTGTGAAACATTACTAGACTATGAGGCTTAAAACACAGCATTGTATGGATTGCCTGTGAATTACTGTGGGAAATAGCCAAAATATAGAAACTGCCTTTTCTTAACGCTTGTCCCAACTTGTCTAATATGAAGTTGGGATCCTAGGTATGACATTACTTTTCTCAGTTATTTCAGCCTTTAACTCTATAGAATAAAGTTCAGACTGTATGCAAAAGAATGTTTTACATTTTGGATTCCAAGATGTGGAAGCAAAAATGGTATAAATTGGAGTTTCCCAGGAGTAGTCTACATGAAAGTATCTTTTGGGGAAACGTGCAGTTCCCGGTGATCTGTGCTTTAACTGTGTTGTACTGGTGCTAAATTGTGGTCCTCTGAGGTATTAAACTGAATCTGAGGTTCCAAGCCAAAAAGAAGTGGACAGTTGTATTTGTTACAGGTACAAAGAGAATAAACTGAAAAATGGCTAAACTGCTGATTTGCCTAAACTGGGCACCAGCTGGGGTGTTGAGTCAAGGATGTTTCCCCAGGGCCAGAGGACAGACAGGAGGGTGGTGATGGGGACATAAAACAGATGGAGAGGATCTTCATGGTGATCTAGGAATAAGGCTGACTGGTGCCCAAGTGTAGACATAGCAGGGCTGCTTCAGGCTTGTGTAGGCCACGCTGAGGCTGGTGGGTTTCTCCTCTTAAGACACAACCTGGGTCCTTAAAATGCTTTTTGCTGGGGTGGGCGGAACTCTCTCACTGGGTGGTGCCTGCTGGGCTGGATGTAGCTCACATGCTGCTCATCAGGAGTAGGATTCTGAAATCTGCTAGTTCCTAACCCCCAGCACTTCAGCTATTCTGGAAACATTCCTCTCTGGTTAAAGCCTTAGCAGGGACATCAATAAAAGCTAAAACCAGTGACATTTGAAGGGTTGAGGCAGAAATAGACAGCTTATTTCATGGTGTTCCTAGATGTATTTTTTTAACCAGCATTGACACACAGAAAGATGAGATTGTTTGTTCTTTTGACTGTGTTGATCTGCAGGGGAATGACTGAAGGAGTCACACTCCTGATCCTGGCTGTGCAGACAGGTTTGATTGAGCTCCAAGTTGTGCATCGGGCATTCCTTCTCAGTATTATTCTCTTCATTGTGGTGGCATCCATACTTCAGTCCATGCTGGAAATTGCTGATCCCATTGTCTTGGCATTGGGAGCCTCAAGGGACAAGTAAGAGACTGGCTTTCTAAACTGAAGGTTACTCAATGCTGTTTTAGGAGGTGATAAACTAGTAATTGATGGTCTTACTGGGATTTTTAGTAGCTTGTGAAGTTACCCTGTCTGTTCTGTATGCAGATTTCTTTTCTAGTCTAAATTCTCCAGGTTTTGACTCTCCATCCTGCTTCCTCAAGGGCACACAGTAATACTTTTCACCATGTTGTATGCTGGCAGACAGGGGTGACTTTGGTCACCTGTTCCTGCTCAGGACTGCATCCAGCCAGCCTGTGCAAGACCATGCCATTCTGCAGCTGCTGGCTGCCCACTCTGAGTATTACACTGTTGCGTGGTTATTCTCCCTAGTGAGAGTGTCAGCGCACTGTGGTGATCTCAGCTGAGCAAATCCAGGACTGCAGTGCCTCTGATCTCCCCACCCACACTCCATTGTCTGGATTTGCAGAATGGTTTTGCTCAGCTTTCTCTGCAGTTGGGTAGGTTTCCCTCTAATGCAGTGGCCTCAGACAGCTATTGGGGATGGGAAGTTTCCAAGAGTGACCTTGTGTTAGGTATTGTAAAATCTATTTTTTTGTGAGGTTGTGATCCCAAACTGATAGGGTTTACTGGCAGAAAATAAGAGGTGGAAGGCTTGCATTAGTGTACCAGATCACAGAATCATAGAATGATTTGGTTGCAAGGGATCTTAAAGATCATCTAGTTCCAACCCACTGCCCTGGGCAGGGACACCTTCCACTAGACCAGGTTGCTCAAAGCCCCATCCAGCCTGGCCTTGATGTATGATTGTTGTTAAGTTTAATTTGTGTTTTGAGGAGCTGTATTGGTGTCTGGTATTCTTGTATTAGTCTGTTTATATCTTTGTTAATTGCTTGTGTCTTTTCCCTTTCTGTAACTTGTAAGCAAAAAAAATAGAAGGTTTATTTACGTGTAGAGAGTTTGTTTAGCTTAGAGGCTACTTGTAGCTGGTGTGTTCTGCCTGCAGCGATGTTAACTTCAAATATAGTAACAGAGGGAAAGGGAGTAGAGCCAGGATATGAGCATCTGTCCCGCTTAAACAAGCAGCCTGTGGTGATAGCAAGTTTTAACTCTCTTCTGCCAAAGCTCCCAGGCAGGTCTAAATCAAGTAGGATCAGGATAAATTACACTTCAGCTCTCCCTTTCTCCCTCACCCACAGACACAGAATTGCAGACCTCATAGTAGCATTCTGATGTTTCCTCAGACTGTATTAAATGAGCCAGTTTCTGCTGCTGTCCTGTCCCCCAATACTTTCACTTTTTCTGTACCTCATTTCCAGAGCTAAATGAGGTTAAAATACAACCTGAGGAATATGTAGAGGTAGTACAGTAAATTACTGGAGATATTCTGAAAGCCATCACAAATGAGTGGGTGTAAAAAGATTGATGATGTGTTTAGGTTGGGGAGGAGATTAGGAAGAAGTAAATGATAGGAGCAGAGTAAGGACTGGCAGAGATGAATGTTCAAGTGCTGCTACATTTCTTCTTTTGTGATCCCTGAATTGGGGAATATACTTCTAAAGGCATCAAGGTTAAATCTGGTTATGAAAGGAAATACCTTTGTCCCATGCATATTAGCAAAAAGACATAGAAGAGTTGTAGTAAGTATGTAATCTGGGAGAGAACTCTGTTTATATAGAAAAGTGTACAAACAGTTACATGCGTGTTTAATAATTTTCTTTAATGGACTTTCATCTGAAATATTCAGTATCTCAGATACTTAATTTGTCTAACCACTGACTTGACCCATTATGGCAATTACTGTAGGTGAATTTTTGCCCATAATCTTTGTCTTTGTATTGAAAACCGCAAAGTTCAGATGAGAGGGAACTTTTCATACGGTATGTGTTGTAGGCGTGCATACTGGGAATGAGACTGTGCCCAAGTAAAATAGAAATTCCTTTCAACAAGTTAAAACCTTGAGCAAACGTGTAACGTGCCTATGTCCAGCAGTCAGCCTGTTCTTATTCTGACACTCAAATCTGACTTAAAAAATAAAAACCTATTGCGTTGTTTGCAGGAGTCTGTGGAAGCACTTCCGAGCAGTCAGCCTCTGTTTGTTCTTACTCGTGTTCCCCGCATACATGGCCTACATGATTTGTCAGTTTTTCCACATGGATTTCTGGCTGTTGATCATTATCTCCAGCAGTATTCTAACCTCTCTTCAGGTAAGAATGTTAGCCCTGTAATAACTGTGAAGCCCTGTGTATTAACTGTGATCCTGTTACTCTAGGGGGTTAAATACATGATGAGAAAAGAACAGGGATGATAGAAGGGCAGTCGTACAAGACGTGACATAAAATCTCTTTCTTTATCCTGTATCTGAGGCTAAGGAGCTCCTAGAGGTGGGCTGAAAACATAGGTAAAGGGAAGTCTATTTCAAATTGTAAAGCCAGAAGGCTTTTGAGGGCATAATAACCATCATAGGAAAAAGTGTTTTTCGTTGTTTTTTTTTTTTTTTCCAGAGTACTCATTTATGTATTTTTACTTAGCTATGGCTCTTTGAAAGCAATTTGATGTTCGAAACACAGTATTGTAAATACAGGAAATGTTTTGTACTATAAGTATTCGTTATAACTTGGGTTTTTTAATTCTTAAATTTATAAAATCACCCCTCATGATGCTCAGCACTTTTGTTTAATCAACTCAGCTATGTTCTGGACTCAGGAAAGTACAGGAGGAGGAGTACTTGGGAACAAGCCTAAATGCTTTGCAAGAAAGAGTGACTTTTATTTGTCTTGAAGTTCAGAAACAATTTTACATCAAGAGCTCGATGGAGAATGCTGAATGACTTAAGCTCCAGTTCAGAAATGAATGCTCATGGTCTTGCACTGTGTTACAGGTGCTTGGGACACTCTTCATTTATGTTTTGTTTATGGTGGAGGAGTTCAGAAAAGAACCAGTAGAAAATATGGATGATGTGATTTATTATGTAAACGGCACATACCGGCTGCTGGAATTCCTTGTTGCTCTCTGTGTGGTGGCATATGGTGTCGCAGAAACGATCTTTGGTGAATGGACTGTGATGGGTTCTGTGATCATCTTCATTCACTCCTATTACAACGTGTGGTTGCGGGCCCAACTGGGGTGGAAAAGTTTCCTTCTTCGCAGAGACGCTGTGAATAAGATAAAATCACTGCCTGTTGCCACCAAAGAGCAGTTGGAGCAACACAATGATATCTGTGCCATCTGCTACCAGGTAAGAATGGAAGTGTCAAAAGATTGACTTGAATTGAAATAGCTCTAGACTGTCAAGTTTCAGTCTGCAGCTAGTAAAATAAGTTACTTGAATTACGTTTCATGAGTAATATTGTCCTCAATAAGTTACCTGAATTACCCAGTTTTGTGCTTTGTGTAAATTGATTTGGATTGTTGTCACTGAGATAGTTTTTATGAATAAAGAGAGAGTGTGGATGTGTTTAAACTTTGGTTCTTTTTTCTCCAGTTACACAACAAACTGTGTCTGTGAGCTTTGAAACCTTTCGTGTTTGGGTTGAGCTGGTCGCAATAGTAACAGCAAATGTGCCCTTTCTTCATTAGCGGAAGATTTTGTTAGTGAAAGACAATGTGTACTCAGTAGCTGATTTGTTACTATTCCATAGAAGTAGCTCAGTCTCTACAGACATTGCTACTTCCACTTCATGTGCAATGTCAGTTTTATAACAGAAACCTAATTATCAAAAGGTTAAGGGTCTTTCTAATGTAAGCCAGCAGATGTAAGGACCTTAGACGTTAATGCTGAAAGTATTATCTTTATTGCACCTCTAGAGCCAAAGTCTCTTTCTCTTGGATAGAAATTGCAGGTATGTGTGACGGTGAAAGAACCACCCTAAGATTAGTAGTATGTGTTTGGAGTGCAATTGGATTGACTCCAGACTTGATGCAGATTCTCTGAAGAGTAAAACTACTGGTGCTGTATGGAATGACAGTGTTTGAAACACCAGACTAGTAATATGTGGGTCTCAGCTGACTGAGTTAGGGTGTTACTTCATTTCTGATTTGCCGTTACGTGTTGTATCTGTAAATGTGCTGGTTTTGACTTGCACAATTGTTTCTTAAGCCAACTAATCCTGTGACTTTTATCCCATAAAAGCTTTTGTTTAATAATACCTCATAAACAAAGCCTTTTTGCCTAGTTTCTCATCTCTGTAATATAAGCAGCCAGCCCTGGCCTGTGTTTGAATTGTGTGTGTATTTGAATGTGGAGGCTTGTTGGTATGAAGGAAGAAACATTCCCTTACTTGCCTGTGGACTGCTTCTGTCTCCTTTGTGGCTAGTGGACCCGTTAGATGTATGGGGTGAGAGGAGAGGAATGGGATTACAAATAATATGATCTTTTTTTTTTGTGTGTGTGTGTCTTTCAGGATATGAAAACTGCTGTAATCACACCATGTAGCCATTTTTTTCATGCGGGTTGTCTAAAGAAATGGCTGTATGTGCAAGAAACCTGCCCTCTGTGCCACTGCCAACTTAAGAGCCCTTCACAGCTACCGGGGCTGGGACCGGAGCCAGTTCAACAGCCAAATCCTAGTGCAGAGCAAAATACCAGACCTGGAGATGCAACTGAGCCCCCTGCTTTTGAACATGACAATGATCTAAATATGAAAGGCAGCCGGAGCAAGAGCGATGGACAGGATGCTGATGGGCAGGACAGCCTGGAGGCCTCTGCTGAGATGGAGGGGTCTCAGAGCATGGACAGTGACACAAGCCCGTGTGAGGCCAACCAGGGAGCAGCTTGTGCTGCAGAACTAATTGCAGCCCCAGAGGGGTGCCCTGCTCGAGATCCAAGGGTTTGTGTCCAGCTCTGAGGTGACAAACGATGACGCAGGAACACACACAGAGATCCAAGTTTGACTCAGAAGAAAACCTATCCTTCCACAGCTGTGAAAGAAGTTTAGCTATTAATGCTGGTCAAAATGTCATCTCCCGTGCCGATTTTTATGGGCTGCTTGGTAGTGGTAACTCCAGTGAGATGTAGTAGAAACAATTCCAGAAGCTCTCTAAACTGTGGGCATAGGAAGGATGTCTGGAAATAAATTGTCAAGACGTAGGTGAGGGATAAGAGGAATGCGAGGTCTGTGAGAGATTGTAGACAGACAGACAGACAGAACGCTAGCTTTTGGGTTTGGTCGGGAAGACGGTATTGCGTACAGCCATGTCGCAGGGTACCTGAGAGTGAGTTGCTAGTCTCTGACTGAGGTGCAGCTTTGGTTGCTGACAAAATTTTTTCATGGCATATAAGCAAAAAAAATCAAAGATGTAACAGCAGCGATTGTACTAGAAGACGGAAGCACTCTTAATACATCATGTGTATGCTTTGGGTGTTCTTGGTGGGGCAATTGCATTTGAATTCATGTAATCTATAGTGACTCTTGACTTTTATGACAGAGTCTTCAGTATTTTGGTGTATATGAAACTTTTGCTAATAATGGGCGCAGTCTGGGCTGCATGAAGTAAACTAAAGCTCTAATGAACACTTTGACCTCTGCTACCATGTGCAGGAGGAAAGTGGGATGAGTTTTAGGGCACAGATAGAGGCCTTACAGTACTGTGCTGTGTAATGTTTAATTCTTGCAGCTGAATTGAAACAGTATTAAACTCTGGCGATATTTGCACTTTGGGAATGAGTACATTATTGTGTATGATCAGACTCCGCAAATGCCACTTTTAAAGCTGTTAATAGGTTTGCACCTTTTTTCTTTGACAAGGACATGTCCATACTTAAATTTTTACATTCATCATGGCTTCAAGTAGAACTGGGGACTGGGGTGGGGAAATAGGTGGGAGTAGGGGGCAGGCAATTTTTTTATGTGAATTTTGATATGAAGAGAAATTAGTCACTTATTTATACGATAGGCTTGACTCAAGTGTTTTTCAAAGTCGGTATTCCTAATGTGAAATGTGATACTATTTTATTTTTAGTAGTAAATTTGGATGTAGACTGACAGACATAGCTGAATGTCTTAATAAATTACATTTGAAGATTTTTACACCTGGTTATGTGATTCTTGTACTGATATTCCATCGATTAAGTATGTGCTTGAGAGGCTTTTCTGCAACAGCAGCTTTCCCTTCCCCTTGGAGATCAGTGGAACTTCTGATGCACGCACTCTTCGCCCATTCCCTTTTCAATGCTGTGTGTCCTGGTGATACCTCCCAGCCTCCCCTGGTCCTTGCCACTAGATCTTGGCCCGTGCAGAACAGCAGAGCGCAGGGCACATTTGCTCCTGGAGGCCATGCCTGCTGCTACTGAGCCCCAGGCAAAACCCAAAGCTGTTTCCTTCTCACCTGACAGGATGAGAATATCAGTTACACCATCCTTTGATTCTCTATCTCAGTTTTGTTTTCCTGCATATTAATCAGAAATTTAGATTTACCATGTGCTTCACTGATTGTTGCAAAGCTTTTATTAACAGCTGGGTGTGTTTGGGGAGGGGGGAAATTGTGAGAATTTTTTTTCTTGAACTCTTCTTTTTGACTCCTGTTAATCGGTAGTCTGGGTCCTGCTCTTCCATGCCTGTATTTCTGTGGAATTGAATCTTTCTCAAAAAGATGTTTTGTATGTGTCCAAGCTTTTAATCTATATAATTTAGACTGTTTCCATTCTAGCCACGCTTGAAAGTCTGGAGGCAGAAAATGGGGATTTTCTGGGCAGCACTGTTATGGGGTGCTCTTTAGTAGTGTGAAACCCTCAATTCGCAGAATATGTTTTTAAAGGATGCTCTGTTAAACTCTACTTGCTGTACCCTGGATGTGGGAAAATGACACCAGAAGTTCCTCACAGGAGTGATGGGAAGCTTTTCTTTTGTGCCATGATCACCTGACCTCCATGGTACCCCAAGTGACTGGGAAGAGACGAGAAGAGCTGGGCTTGGTCAGCCTTGTAAAATGAAGGTTGGAGGGGTTGTGAGTGCTGTACAGATACCTCAGGGTGAATGCAGGGAAGGGAGGAGAGGAACTTGTGCTCATCTCCAGCATTCACGTGAGGGCAGCAGGGCAGAAGGGAGTCACGAGGGTCATCAGCTCAGTTCACTGCTATCCCACACAGTATGTCACATCATCACTTTCATAAATGTAGGAAGTGGTGTTGAAAAAGTAACAAAAAAAGAAGGTTTGCCTTCACTGCCTATGCCGAGAAGCTCTTTCTCAGCCTCACTGATCTCTTGGCAATGAACCTTTTGATTTGCACCCTAAAATATTCATAGCTAATTGGTAATGCAAAAGCTAGAGGAAAGGACTATGGATTTACACCAGCATCGGTAAGAGGTAAGTGCACCAGGAGGCTGCTCATTGAGAATCAACGGGCCCACAGTAGAATCAACAAATGCACTGTCTGCCAGGACTGCAGGTCGGAGATGTGGATGTGGCACTGGAAAGGAGCCTGACAGACTCGGAAGGTATGTGCTGTCTCTTAGGAGAAATGGTGCTGCAAGATTTCCACTGGAGCGACCAAAAGCCACTGTTCTGTGCTGGAGAAGGTGCTCAAAGATGTGGAGGCTCTGGCAATCTTAGCAGAGTTCTGCATTCTGGCAAGAGGGGCATGATGAGATGAAAACAGCTGATGGACCTTTTTTTACTGTAAGAAGGGTATTTTCAAGAGAGAGAGGAGAGAAAGGAGGGGAGGCTGCTAGCTTGGAGAGTTCATAAGAACAGGGCGTTTCTTGAAAGATGGCAGTTACCTTCATTGGGTGCCAACATCGTTACAAAGAGTTGTTTGTAAGAGCAAGCCGTGATGGAGTGTGTACGTTGCTGCAGGGTTCGTGAGGCAGAGCTAACTGGCTGGTAGAATCTGCTGGACTAGAAAGTTCAAGATGTGTGTGTTCATTTTTGCTTAATTTTTGTGTTGTGTGTTTTTTTTTTTTTTTCCCCAACTAAAAAAATGCTAACAGAGTACCATTTTCTGAAAAACTAGGGACAACTAGCTCTAGAGGGAAGTTAAAAATAAGCCTGCAAGGAATGGGGGTGGGTGGGAAATAAATACTGATAAGCCAAGCAGGCTGTATCCTACGGGTCGGGAAGTTCAGGGATGAAGTGAGAACTGCCAAAACTCACGCCAAGTTAGATCTTGCAGCAGAAATAAGCTGTGTAACTTGAAGGGGAACAGGAGAAAAAGGGAGAAGGCTGCTATGGGGGAGCAGGGAGGAAAGGAATGAAATGAACCTTCTGTCTCGGTGCTCCGTAGAGCATCTGGGTGAACGCTCCTGACCTCTGAGCTTTGTCTGGTGCAGAAACTCCCTCTTGGACACTGCTTGCTTTGAGTTGATTTTCTTTTTCTCTGCAGCTGTGCATGAGTAAATGGGAAAAAATGCTTTTTGAGTGTTTATGATCAGGGTATAACTAGGCTGAGGCTTGAAATCATTTTCATGTGGACTCCTGATGGTGCTGTGATTGACGAATATTTGGACTCAAAAAGATGCTTCCAGCTAGGTGATATAATGGGAACAGTTGGGAATTTTATGGCTGGTTGTTTTTTTGTTGGAAATGGGAGGCACTGATCACATGGTGTGTGTTTTGTCAGTCCTATCGAGTATCCCAGCGCTGCTGATTTATGAAGTCCATTGCTCTGGGCTCAGGGATAGCCTCGGATGTGGCTAGGAATTTGATATGAAAGCCTTAGTTTGAATTGCATTGCTCTCAGCCTCTTTGGCTTTTGGCTGTTTGCAGCAGAAGAATCTGTTTCCTTCCTTGTTCCTAGTGAAGCTCTTCATTTTATGCCAAGACAGAGTTCTTGAAATGCACAAGGTTTTCCAGCATGGGAAAACCACTTCATTCCGAGTCCCTTTCTTTCCTGATTAATTTTAAATTCAATTTCTAAGTTACCTTAGTCCGTTTCCTAAAATAGACCCGAGTTTGGGCTTAAGTGATCTGAATGTTTGGGAACAAACTTGTAATGTTTTTTCCTAACTGGCAGGGACAGTTAAGGAGTTTTATTTCAGTTGGTTCAAAACTCAAATTGTCTCTAGCAAATAAGATATAAAAAACAAGAAAGTTGATATCGGTGTCTGAAAAGAAAAAAAACCAACCCACACTTGGGAAGGAGAACTGGCTGTTTTAAGCATGTTATGTTGTTGGGAAGCCAGCTGTGTTGAGAATGAAAGTAACCACATTGGAGTGAAACTGATATTGTTGGATTTTGTGTGGGTCAGGAGAGCAAAGGGCAGGAAGCCCGCTCGGTTTGAAGCGGGCTGGACGTCAGCACGGCGCGGTGATCGTCAGCTTGGAAGTTCTCAAGAAGGAATGGTCCATGGACCACTGCTGGTTTACGCTGCTCTGAGGAGGGCTGCAGATGTGACTGATGGGTTGGTGCTGGCTTTTTTTCTTCCCACGTGTTCAATTTATATGAAGGGACCCTTAAACAATTTTCCAGTGCTACTCTTCCATCTCTGCAGTGTCTGGAGTTGCTGCCTATTAGCTAAGTCTGTCCTGTAAGGATTGCTTATTCTAAGTCTTGCCTGTGGTGTGGCCCCACAAAAATATTTGTGGGAAAGATTGACAAACTAATCTCTTTGGCTTTGCTTGCACTTACAAAGGTGTCAGTAAATGCAATTTTAAACTCAGTTTTTCTTGGTGTTACAATACTGAGTTTAGAAATTAACTGGTCCCCATTTTTGTGAATGCATGTTCAATGACACAAAGGATCACAGTTCACCCCCCCAAACCCCGAAGATAGCAGTTTTCTTTTTGACGATGCCTATTTCTTTTAACTATCGCTATTTTACTTACTAGCATCCTGCAAGAGTCCGAGGCTAGGGATGCGGTGACTTCTCTCCTCGGTGCAGTTTAGCTCTGCAGCACCGGACGGCTGTGC